GCTCACGGAAATTAATTATAAACCATGAACGCGTCCCTAAGTTGCCCATGAATCTCATTCGTTTACCTTACTTTGCTCACTGTCGTCTATGAGAAAAGACCCATTGTCTAGCCACCAGTGAAAAATTTATGTTTGCGACATGACTCAATCATTCGTGTGCCTGAGTACTTGGTCAAAGGCATTAAACCTGCTTAATTTATTGATTTAACTATTTCAATGTATCTTACTGAGAAAACCCCACTCTTCACCATGACCACTGCACAGAAAAAGACTTGCCCTTTTTTTTGAAAACTAAGACAAAATGAAGAAACTTGGATCAGTGACTTGCCAAGGTTGAGGCTTCCTTGCTTCAAACACCAACCAGTAGCATGCTTTGTGAAGATGCACTTCCTCTCACTGATGAGCCCCATGGCTGGGGAAGGTAGAGAAGGGAGTGGGGGTGGGGGGGTTCACTTTTTAACAGGTTCCCCGGTCACCAAGATGCCTACCACACCTCTTCCAATTGATCTGATCTCTCTCGTTAACAGTTCAGCCCTCTTCCTTGACCAGACCAAGCCATGTAAAAGCTTCAATTCCGGGGATTCGTGATTCCTCCTTAGTGTTCAGGGCTGGCGGCTTTCCAGGTGACTCCACGGAGGCCTGCACTTTCTAACAAAAGGAATGCTGCTGAAAGGAGTTGGTTACCAGGTGTGGCAAGAAGTTAGTGAACCAGAAAGAAGGGATTTATCAGCCATTTAAAGAGGGGGAGAGGGGAGAAAGACAGAAAGGAAAATAAAGCAACAAGCAATCAGGAGTGACACCTAAGCCTACTTCTACCAATGTGAAATATGCTTTGGAATGAAAAGCCTTTAAAAGAAAAATCACAATGGTCAGATTTCAGTTGCAGAAAAGTATGCATAGCTAAAAAGTTTGGCTCTTCTGCGAAGGGTTAAGGTGGGGTTGGGTGTGTGTGGGGGGGTTCTCCAGGAGACATCTCTTCGGCAAGACAGCAAGATGAGATTTCAATGATATTTTGCTATCTCGGATTTATTATTTTTAATATATTCTTTTTTCATCTCCACGTTGACTCAGAAAGGCCTCATGATTCTTGGAAAGTCATTCAATTTATTTTTATAATTAAGTTATTTTTAAGCTAACAGTCTTAGTATGTAATTTTTAAGGATCACGCATACTAATGCATTTTCTATTTTAGTAAAATTTAGTGAGAAAGTAGATAGTATTACTAGATATTCTCCCGAGCTTTTATGTGAGCCTGGATACTAACTTTGTGTTCAATACAAATCAATGGAACTAGTGCATTTTAGGATACTCATTCCCTAAGGAGTCACTAATGGAATTATTTCTAACCCTTAAAAAAAAAAGTCACAATGAGGCTAATGAAATTTTTTTTTTCCTAAATGAAATCTGGATGAGGTACTAGACTTGCTAGCACATTTTATTTATGGCATTTATCATATATGGCATGTTTTACACGCGAGTTGTGCAAACCTCAGAATGTTTTTAAGAGTGATTTCATCTCTAAGAGAATACTTTGTCATTTGGGGTTAAATTGTTTGTACCAATAGAGAGAAGTATATTACATGTCCTCAACTTCAAAATCATTCCGGATGACATTAAAACTTAGAGAATTTTTTTTTTAATATCAGATACAGATGAAAAACCTAACAGTCTTTGGATTGGAAATAACTTGTGGGGGTTTTCATTAAAGTTGGGTGCAGCTTGCTGCATTTTGGTTAGTTGGATGTCTTCAGCAATTTTTCAAATGTTTTGGGTTTGGCAAAGTCCAAAATGTTTTTGCCAAGACCCTCTTTTCCCCTTATTTTTTAAACCCGTGTGAAATTCAAGGATAACTTAATCCATATGTGTCTGATTCATTTACACTTAACTCATCAAAATGTTATTTTGTAAGACCCATTTAATATTCAAGAAACCTTTTGAGCCTTTTTAAGACATCTTTTGTCTTTGAACCAGTGAGTTGTGTTTTTTTTTATATGAATGGAGCTTGGACTTTGAAAGATTGAAAATCAGTTGATTTTCAACTTAGATTCTTCAAATTCTAAGTAGAATCAAAACTTGGTATTCTGTTTACTGCTTTAACACTAAATAAGTTCATTTTAAAATATAAATCAGAGGAAGTAGAAAAAATGTCATGTCATGTAATTTTGGGAAAAGACCACATTTAGAAATTTCATCTTAGTAATGTTAAAAAAAAAGCAAATTCCTCCTACTGCTATTTTTTAATCTATAATTAAAGGCTCCATTTTATGTACATTGATGTGTTTTTTAAGAGTGGCCTGTGGATCATCAGTATAGTGGGGTGGTTTCATTTATTAGTGTTAAAGTGTTATTACAGCAAACTCATTAATTGTTAATTTTAATAATAACATCTATGGTGTTTATAAGATATCCCAAGATCAGGGGAGTTGACAATTGGCAGGAGTTGTACATTAAGAGATTTCTGAAAAATTGGGGCCCATATGTTTTTTAAATTATGTGTGATTTGAAAGAATGTGGTAGAGTTATGAATCTGGCAAGATATAGCACCATGGATCAAAAACATTGTTTGAGAACAAAAATCCAGAGAGGCTAAATGGAGCCCAAGTGAAAAAAGCAAAATCTCTATGACCCTTTGTAAAAGGATCTAGTGAAAACCTTCAGAGGCTTCTATGCATATTTGTTTAGCACAACTGGGCAAAGAAAGGCCCTCGCCATAACTGCTAGTGAACATCCAGTCCATGCCATGGTAACTAGTTGAAAATGTAATACTGGAGTGGCATTTCCAAGTTCAGCGCTTCTATAAAGACCTGCTAACACACAAAATGCTTTTTTAATGTTCTGCATTGTTGTGTATCCCCCATTGAACAACCTTTTGAGAGGACCCCCGTTTTTTACTAATGTAAACATTCTGAGGAGTATCCAAAGAAATGACCTTTGAGTGAACCTCTAACCTTCCCTGTAATTATTTGTTTGAAGACAGTGTGGAGTTCTCCTGCTGAGAACTAAGAACCATGATGCCTTGCAGCTCTGTGAGTAAGGGAGTGTTTGGGGAAACTGGAGAGAAAGACATAAATAAGGGAACAACCTCCAGATGTAAATAATAAAAGAGTAAAAGGGTGAAATTAAAAAGGGAAAAAATAGCAATTCGTTTTACCTAAAGAGTTGGCCTATAAGGAAAAAACAAAACCAGGATTAGTAGCACATAAAAAGAGGTAAGACCCTGCCATGTGTGTTCTCCGTTAGAAACTTCAAGGAGGGGAGGAAAAGGTTTCTCTGACTCTCCTGAGCATCTCAATTGGTCCTAACCTGAGCTGATAAAAAGAGTTCCTGGGGATGAAAATCTCAGGTCAGTCCTCCTTGGTCCCAGCAAAAAAAAAACGGTGGGGCAGAGTAGAAATTCAGTTGCTTTTCTATTTGAGGGATCCTTCTGGAAGGCTTTGTGACCTATCTGGTCAGATATTCCTCAGCAGCACTTAAGGTGCCAGGTGGAAATAAAATATGCAGTTACAACTTTCTTTTTGTTTTCACCTCTCAGAGCCTGTCACATTCGTCCCCAAACCTGAGAGGGTGTAACATTTTTGACAACTGAGCTATACTTTCTTAAATAATAAAGGAGTTCATTGTTTTGCAAACAAACACCATATGCAAAAGACTCCTTTGCTTTTCTTGCAGCTATTATTCTCTAGCCTAATTGTATTCCCACTGGAGCGCTCACAGGAGGCCTTGAACGAGTGTGGGCTGCTGTTCTCCTCAGAAGGGACTTCAACAGGAACACTAGAATTTTTTTTTTTTTTTGGCTAATTTCAAAGAATGAGTTTTCAGTTCCTGCCGTTGGCCCCATGCAGACTCATTAATCATTAAGTCCCCTGCACTTAAGATTTGAAGCTAGAGATACTGGGAAATGTTAGAAATGGGTATCTTTTTAATGGATAGCTAGCTAGAGACTAGGTGTCCCCACTCCCTTCATGCTGCCCGCCCCCAAACGCACAGCCAGTGAATCCTGTGCATCAGCTCAAATGTATGGGGAATGCACATCATTAAATGCACAGGGACAAGGGTAACTTACAAATGGTAGAAAATTGTTTTGTTTTTATTAAATTTGGAGAAATAAAGGAGATTTCTTATCATCTTACTCTGTTTGTACATGAATATTTGATGGGCATTATTAAACATTAAAGTAACATGAAGTAGGCACTTATTTTTGGATTTCCAACAAAATTAGATCCAGGCTTCTAGACGAAATAACTGCTTCTCCTTCACATTCCTGTGAGTCAGCCACCACCTGATTTGAAAACGTTTCTTGGGCTCTAATATCAACCATGTGTACCTGAGGCTCTGTCTTTCTAGTGGGTTGAAAGGTGGCTGGGTTTATGGTTGGCAGTTACCTTATTCCTGCCCTGGGTGTCCCAGCTTAGACTGGAAAGGCCGCCCCCAGCTGGCACTGACCTCTAAATGACCCCTAACTTTACAGGCTTAAACTGCAGGAGTTGCCGAAGAGCAGAAGTCTTTCTGGCCAGCACTTATTACTGCTGCGTTGGTGATAAAACTTCAGACAGCCTAATTGATGGCTTTGCTGACCTAACAATACCTTGTGAAAGCAGCGTGCCAGAGCCTGGTCTCCATTTATGACCAGCTGCAAGGGGAAGCTGGATATCCCGATGATGGGGAGTTTAGGGAAAGAAGGAAACTCTTCCAGCTTGAGGACTTTAACCAGACTCCTACTGGTTCAAGCAGCAGAAGCACAATGGCAAATTAATAGAAGCGGTCTCAGGGAAAACTTTTTTCCTTCCCCTGAGCGTTTTTAGCAGGTCAGCCTTGAGCTGGCTATTAGATGACGGAGATGATCCAGTCAACTAGGTATTCTCGAACACGGAAAGAGAAAATGGCCTATGAATTAAAAAGATAACGTTCGGCTGGATTATATTCTCTGCAGCGTTCGTGCAAGGGTGTTCACAGAGCACAGAAATTGCATTTGATGACTGGATTTCTCTGTTTTATTTCAG